TGCATGAATGTGAAGCAGCCAAGAAAGATATTTTAAGCGAGGAAAGGTATACGCTACACACTTGTGCCAACAAGTCAGGAACATCTTGGCCCTCAGCGCCAGAAGAATCAGCCAATGACTTGTCCCATTATGACAGAATTGTATGTTGCAGGGGTCTGGAGTAAGGAAGCTACCATGAGACCCTGAAGCAAAAGCAGATAGAAGGATGATTCCTGAACTAAAGATTGCTATTCTAGAATCACAGTTTGAAGCTTCTCTTGGGGAAGAAAGACTCTGGCCTAAGCTGTATCTAGGACTAGACCCAAATACTCCAAGCATCGGTTCTAGTGCTGATTTAAAAAGATAAAAGGTAAAAGATCCTCTGTAACATCTGAACAGTCAAGGCTATGTTGGCTGCCAGAGCTTGTACCAGTTGCTCCTTCAGCAGGAAGTGATCTAAATATCCCACAATTGGGATGCCCACAATAAGCACAGCAGACTATTACTAGAGCCAGCACCTTGGGGAAATCCCAAGGAGCAGAAGAGAGGCCGAATGGCTGGGCCACAAGCTAAAAGTGCAGGGGGCCAACAGCAAAGCGGAGGAACCACTGGTTGACTCTATGCGTAATTTTTTTAAATCCCGTTGTGATCCAAGATGGGACGGATGCTTCTGTTGGCTGTGAATAGGTTAAGGTAAAATACCTAAAATTATTCTGCCACAGCAACTGGGGCAATGACACCCTGATCCAGAAAACCTGCTATGGCCACCTAGAGATATGCAGCCCTGTGTGGTGACACAGGAAGTTTGGAAGGAACGGAAGAAGGGGTTTGGAATAATACTCTATTTTGTAGCCCCAGGAAACCACATCCTGCAACCAATCATCTGAGATGCTGTCCAAGTGTCAGCAAAGTCTAACAGACACCACCCAACCATAAAAAGTGGAAGCACACCTTCATGCTGAGGATTTGTCTGAGGGTGTGGCAGACTAGGAGCTGTCTCATGAGTCTTCTCAAGAGTGCTGATTAAAGAAAGAAAATGCTAGCAAACAATCAGGTTAGTCTTTTCACAATAGAGCTGAATAAAAGACATCCATCCTTCTAGAACAGGGGCAAAAACTGAGGCATGGTTGCAGTAGGAGAGGTTATCCTGGGCTGGCCTACAGTTTTATTTTTGGCCCGTTTCCAATCCTTCTTTAGGCGTCAGTAAAACCCAATAGTTTATCACTTCTGGTTTCCCTCAATGGACAAGAAAAATAATTTTCATTAATATTCATACCATTTGTATGTGCATATTATCAATAATAATTTTCTCATACTAAATGTATGCAGCATCAAATTAATAAAAACTTGTATACTGAACATTTATGCATAGGGATATGTTCCCCAGGGATGGTGCAGTTAGCAAGGGTGAGGCACACTCTGTACATATTAACTCTGAGCAATACTTACGCATAATATCTTTGTCAGCTTTACACACATTGACAGTCATGGCCTGGCCAAATTCAAGTGCAATTTGGGAATTTATTTCTTCCAGTGTGACCTAGAAGGAATATAAAAGAAAAAAAAGACATCACAAAAAATATGTTATACAGCTAAATACCACAAACTATTAATAAACAACTTCAGAGAAAAAATCTGAACATGCTTAGCCTTTTGGCAAACCTGTGGCAAAGAAAACCATAAAAAAGTGCCCATTACATAGCAGCGCAGGCACTTCTATGCCTGCACACATGAATCAGAAAAAAAGGGGATTTTTTTTAACTCAGCAAAAATAAAAGTTTTCTCAAAGTGTTCATTTGGGGTAGGGAAGAGGAGAAAAAAAAGGATACTAGACCTGTGGGGTACAAGTCATGGGCTTATAAGCAACAGCAGAAGGCCATTGCTCTTCTCTTTGTCCCTTCTACATGGGAAGTGACAGCTCAGAAGTAGCTCTAAAAAACCCAATAATTTACTACTATATTAATTAATAAATCTACAGGTAATTGCAGGATCTGTGTCCCTAAACAAACTGTTCAATATTTTAACTTTTTTTTGTCTTCAGTTCCACTTCAGGTGATGTCAGGTCAGTTTAAGCCTTGGGTACCATACACAGGGTGTGAAAGGCTGAGGATCAGAGGCTAGCAGGCAAAAACAAACCATAACAATTTATTTAATGAGGCTGAAAGAGAAACAAAAACAAATAGGGGGAACCCTACAAATGACCAGATCAGGATACCATGGTTACAGAGGTGACAGGATCAGGGGTGCAACATACGCAACTACCTGCACAAAGATGCCAATTAATGAAGCAGAGGTCAGAGAATGCTGGCATAAAGTTGCCAGACTTGACCAAAATAAAGGTCAGCATATGTGCAAGAGAAAAAGGTCCTAGGGTGAAGGTTACAGGATTTTAAATGAACTTAAATGTAACAAAGAAAATGATGGCATTTGTCTTGGTACTGTTGCAGAACGTATTTATTACCTGTATTGGTAGGTCACACAGTAGAGGATCTTGCACCATCATTGCCAAGCCTTCCTGGAATATGTCTACAACCTCTGCATGTGGGAGTTCCTCTTCTGCATCTTCCTGTTCGACCTCGTTAGAGTGAATCTCTTCGTAATTGTCATATTCTGATTTAATTTTTATATCAACATCCATTTTCCTAAAAAAAAAAAAATTAAATTCTTAAAACAAACATTTTTTCCAGTGCTGACCTTAAGATGACTTCCTATGAGTGCCTATATTAAAACATCAAGATTATAGTAATATTCTGCTTTCAGTCAATTTTGTTCTAAATTACGCAAATTTGCAGCACCTTAAACTTGCCATAATCTACATTGCTAGAAAAGCAACTTTCCTCTTAAACGGGTATTTATTCCCTTTTGCCCTAAAGAGACCCTGTCACCAATTAAAATAACATTCATTTAAAAGCACACAAAAATCAAGTACTTTAAATCCCCCTACAGGAAATTTCTATCCTCCCCAGTGCCATCTAGGGGCAGTAGTGCCGTGTGAATGGCAATCACCAACCTATATGCTGGGCGAGTTATAAATCAGGCCCCAAGTGAAAGGCAGCCGGATCGGAGTCAAAGGGCCTGTTCACACCAGCCTGCGCTCTTTATGCTACATAAACGCATGCACTTGTCTGCATTGTATAGGTGCAATGCGGATGTTGTTACAATGCATCATTTTCCTCTTTTTATCTATTTAACTTTATTGAAGTTTTACAAAATGACACTTTATTCAACTGTTATACATTGCTCTGTGTAAAAATGCAGACACCCAACATTTTTACACAATGCACCTAGAAAGCAATTGTTTTCTCTTTGTCCTTGTGTTGAGCTTGCTTTGATCAATGCTGATTAACACACATGTGAACAAGCCCTGTGTTGCTAATTTACTTGATACATATCTTCTAGTGTCATCTTTCAAAGGCGTACTTTTTTCCTGCAACAGGATCACTAAAAATAAAACAAATAAAATCTTTAGTAATAAAGATTTTAAAGGTTTTTTTCCCAAGCTATCCTTATTTTGTTAACTTGTGTTGTTAAAAACATTCCTAGTTATGACCTAATTCTTCCAATAAGCCACCCCGGGGGCGTCCCGAGGCTGGGTGACACCCGGAGAGGTAACCGAGTGTCACCCCGCCGAGACGTCACCACGCATGCGCATGATGTCATTGCGCACGCACGGCAGTTTTCTGATACCTGCTGGCGGCCATCTTGGTGATGGACGCCAGCAGAGAGAGGAGGGGACAGTCACCCGGCGGGATAAGGTATGCCGCCGCGTCCCCTCCTCTCTCCTGATACTGTCGGGCGTTCGGTCCATGACCGAGCGCCCGACTTTTCAGAGGGGGTGACACCAAAATGACCCCCCTTGTGACACCACTGAGCCACCCTCATTTTTGCTGCAGTTTAGGGGTCCCTGTTCCCCATCACAAAATGTGGAGGTATGCTCTATGTCAGCGTTTCTCAACATTTTCTCAGTCACAGCACCCTCTAAAAGCATGCAACATCTCAGACACCCAAATCCGAAATCTAAAAAGATATGTTTCCCCAAGTCCATACCAGACGCTTATCCTAGATATGGGGAGACCCAATGTCAACTACTATCCATACACAGCAGCGCAGCCCTGCACTCAGTATTTCAAATTCCATTGGCAAAGGGCAAGCACATGCTGGTCAGGTGACCACACTGAACAGTGAGAAGCACTTCTTATTGGTCAGCGCGGTCAGAAGTGCTTCTCATTGCCCAGCACAAACAGGTAACCAATGAGTGCTCACCATTTGCAAGCAAAATATCGAGTGCAGGCCTGCTCTGTTGTGTACGGTGTAAGGATAGTACACAGGCAACTGCAGCGGGGAAGGAGTGTTCAGTTAGGAGGTCAGAGCAGCGGCTGGGGGAAGAGTGGGCAGATTGGTGGCGGTAATTCAATTTTCCCAAATTCGCCTGGGAAAGTGGTGTTACCCTTTAATAGCTCCCCTTTCACATCAGAGCAGCAGCATGGCAGAGAGCACAGCATGTCTGGACCGAGGCTTCCTATCTCTCCTGAATGGCTATCGCCTGCCCTAGATAAGTGTCATGTCAGCCCGCATGCATAATGGAAACACATGATGCTGAGCAAAAGTTGCACGGAAGCTAGTGGAGAAAGCCTGCTCTATGTAATAACATGGCGAGGGTGTTAATCTGTTAACAGGACTTGTCAATCACAAAACGTGTTTTCACCTAATTACTATCTCTACCTAAAGTGCGCCTACAAAGTACATTTAACTGAATCCACTATCAATTTCTTCCAATGTGCTCAGAGCTAGTATGGCCGTGACAATCTACACCGTCTTCCCTTATAATACAAATAGTTGGCACTCCAGTAAATGCACTGGTATAATCTACTTCACTCCTCACGTCTTGGTTACATACCAACTGAATGGCCCCTTCTAATGAACACGCTCCTGTTTCCGTTCCCTACCAGCCAATCATGCGCTGGCGGAAGTGATGACACGTTTCCAACTAATGGCGGAAATACATTAGGTTTGGCTTCTTGATGGCGGAAGTGGCTGGAGCCGTCTTTCTCGCTCTTTAAGCATGTTGTTGTTCTGTCCGACGTGTGGGAATGTGCTGATAGTGGAAGAAGGGCAGAAATGTTACAGATTCGCCTGTAATACATGTCCATATGTGCATAACATAAACCGCAAGGTAATGCTTTGGTCTCTCTATATAAACGTTTAAGTGTAGATATCCAATGTCTCTGTGACTGGTAGGTTTTTATTACCTGCTCACTGGTTATGTTTCTACTTCCTGTAATAGGGTGACAACATTATTCGTTCTGGAATGATATTGTGCAATAGCAGTGCAACCCAGTGGACAGGGTAGGAGGACTTATAGGTTTATATTGGTTTGAAAGAAAAGCTTTAATTAGAAGATGTAAAAGTTGGATTTACGGTAACTAAAAGCTCATCGCCAGCTAAAATTGTTTTGAATGTGGAAAGCGCAATGTACTAATTACCTTTGCATTAGGTACATTAATCATTTTCATGCTCCCCTCAACCCTTCCATAAATGATTACAGTGCTAGTTCAAGCAAAAAGAAGAAACTGGGACACGTGCTCAGCACCTCGACCATTCACAATACGTCTTTTGTATTTGGTTTTCTTTTGGGGGGAGGGGGGGTTTACACAGAATACAAGGCACTCTGTGGATGGACAAGGAGATCATGAGGGAAAGTAAATTGCATCATCTCCATTGAGCATTCATAGAAAGTCATGTATTATTTTTGTAAAGAAAAAAAAAAATGTTTTGTGAGATGCTGAGGTTGGAGCTACCCACTACCTTCTCTGTATCGGAGCCAAGACTGTACATCTCATTGCTTACAGAAGGGTTGGGGTTATCATCTTACCTAAACAGCAGGAGCCTGCCACATCTTTAAAGCTTACATTAGCGCATGGCCAACAAAAACTTTTTGTTTTTTTGTTGCCGGAGTTCAGCTTTAGGCAGTTACAGCATCAGTATTGTTTTACTGCACTATAGCAGCCTTTCTCAACCAGGGTGCCATATGCATTCTGGCATCCTCAGGGGTCGCTCAAAAGTTTGTAGTGGTCGGCCTGTGATGTGAAGGGGGAACTCTGATGTGAAAATGGGGCACTCTGATAAGAAAGAGGGGCTTCTGATGTGGCTGATAGTTCCGATCTCCTTCTGACAATGCCTCTGTGGCTTCAATACTGACCCAGAACAAGCATGCAACTACTAAATTAAAGCTACCCATATGCTAGTCACAATTCCACCAGAGTGTGGCTGAACCAGAAAAAACTCAGAGGGGAATTTATCAAAACAGAAGCAGACAAAATCTGGAGCAGTTGTGCATGGCAACCAATCGGCTTCTATCTTTCATTTTCAAATCTCAACTGAACAAACTGAAGCTGATTGGTTGCCACTGACAACTGCTCCAGATTTTGTCTGCTCCATTTTTGATAAATTCTCCTCTCGGTGTACGGCCAGCTTCAGAATGAAAAGAAAAGCTCTTGATTTGCATGCTTGCTCTGGGTTAGTGTTTCAGAATGTGTTTAAGTTATTGGATAATCATTAGAGCCAGCCAACCAGTATTTTCAGACGTATGTGTAGGAGCAAGTCCTTTGATTGCAGGAGGATGTTGTAAAGTAAAGCATAAGATAAACACCGGCTCCTGAGTCAAGAATGGCTGTAACATGGAGACAGAGATTTTCACTCTTCTCCAGTTAAAGAAATTTTTATACCATTCTCTGCCCTCCCATTGAGGAGATCTTACCTCAGTTCCTGTTCTCTCTAAAGGTTGCCATACACCTTACAACCATCGCACGACTTTTGTTGTGCGATGGTTGTAAGGTGATTAAAATTCCGTACGAACTGCCCATCTTGGACAGGCAGATCGTACTTGCGATCATCGCAGGTCCTCCCCGCTAAAGGGAGGGCTTAAAGATGATTGCAATGGTGAGCAGGCAGTGTGCGCCTGCGCACCTCGGCCTGTGCGTTTCATTTTGGGATCGCGCTACCAACCCGCCGAAAAGTTTTCTAGTGTGCTCGTAAGACGAAACTCATGCGACCTTACAGTATATGCGGTCGCACACTGCCCATACACCTGCCGTTTCTCATACGATCGCGGGATCACCCATGATTATCGTACGATAATAGTCAGGTGTATGGGCAGCTTAACAGGGAAGAAATGAGAAGAGAGCCACCACATACATACACATAATGTTGTCTGTGTACACAGGTGACATACACAGACAACATTAAAAACCTGTTAGAGACTCTACAGTTCCTTGCTTGGTTTACTTTCTCTCCTAAGTCAGCAATTACAGCATCTTAAATACATATCCCGAACCTGAAGACTAAAATTTTGACTGTCTGCATGAATTACATTTTCTGTCAGCCAATGAATACAGCTGGCTGATTTAGTGTAGGGGAAAACAACTAGGAGGGAAAGTTGGGTAAAATGCTGGGGTGAGGATGAGAGCACTATAAAACAAAACTGGGCAGAAGAAGATGGCTTTAGTATGTAGAACAGAAAACAAGGGGGGTGAACACTCTGAATTCATTTGTTTATGCTACATATTTAAAGTTTCTATTGCCTATTTTATTTCAGGTCACTAGCAGAAAGTATCCTAAACTCAAGGAAGTTGATGATGTTTTGGGTGGTTCCGCAGCATGGGAAAATGTTGACTCAACTGCAGGTAAATAATAGTTGTATGATAGTTGTATGATATGAATGGTTCTTTCATGAGCGCGTTTCAGTAGGGTTCGATTATAAATGAGCATAAATTATTTGATTACAAGGCCTCCTATGCTACAGTGCAGGACCAATGAGGTTGGTGCTTCTTCATAATAGAACAGGAAGTACAAAAAATATTTAAAAGCCGTATCCCAATCTTCTTCTTTTTTTTTTCCTGGATGATTGTTTTTTTTGTCAGGTTTTAGCCATAGCATGTGAGGAATCTCTTCTATAGCAGTGTCCCCGTGCTTACCTTGTTTCTTTTTTCAATTAAGTTAAAGTGTTAAAAAAAAAATTAACTTCTCTTATTTCCTCCCTTTTTAGCCTGTTTTATATACAATTGAAAGTGTTTTGTTCTACCTACTCGATCAGTGCAAAAAAAACGAACTGATAATTCTTTCAGAAATCCAGTGCGGTCTTGTCTTATCTCAAGCATTGTTATTTGCCCGCCCCAGTTCAGCTCTGTGGACTGCAGAACCCCTCCCTTCTATGTTATGGAGATGACGAGAGGGGGAGTTGTTTTGTAATCCTAACACTTTTACTTTACTAGGGTGACAAGGCTGCTCCTCCATAGGTGCAGTGAGTGAGCGTTAGAAATGAGTCCCCCAGGTTAAACTAATGGAAACAATCTGAAAGAGAAAACTAATCTAAAGACCGGCAAGCTGCTACATTTTTGTACTTGGGTTTAGATGCAATTTAACAGTGATGTGAATTAGAGAATTGGAATTCTACAACTTCCTCAACTCCTGCTTGGTGTGGGTATGGGAAAATCTGGGATCTGTGCCCTCGAGCCAGAAATAAGAAAGTATCTGGAGTAGGAAATATTGGCAACTGCAAGTGAGGTAATCAAGTTTGTAACATCTTTCCAGTCTAAACTAGAGAGCTATGGGAAATACTGAAAACCCCAAAGTCACAATGGAGATGGTTTGTAGAGCACTATTTATTTCTCCATATTCTGTCCTAATGGAAGAGTTCAGTCCTTATGCTGAATAATGCATTTCAAGCTATCTGGCTTCTAACCTCATTCATCCATGTGGTAAAATAGGCACAAGCATGGCAACTGTCCATTCAGTAATCTGCCTGTTCCTGGTATAGATGAGCATGTGACTCACTCCATATGACAGCTCTGGCCAGTCAGCGCTGTCACATGAGGAGTCCGTAGTCCTGTGCTAGCAATGACTGTTTAACTTGTAGCTCCAGCAGAGAAGCAGAAAGAAGGTTTTTGCTGGCAGGTTAAAGTGGACCTGTTGATTTGCCTTGTGTGGGCAAAGCACAAGTACATTTTAAGAGTAATAATCAATATCACTGAAAATGTGCTCAAAAGTTGTTGTGCTCAAAAACAAGCACAATTTAAATAAGAATAGATTTTTTGTATTTTGATGCCTGACTGTCATGTTGATCTGTTGTAAAATTGAATTGAATTCTTGAAATTTAAATACAACCTTCCCAAACAGTTTCAGTTTTTCATCCAGGCAGAGCAGTTGTGCACCATTCCACCCCATTCCCAAAAATTTGTTTATTGCTTTCTTAATGGTGTATTAGAGAAGGTTTACATGGCAATATGTCATTTGTGCTTTATTCTAATCTATTTTACTTTTCATACAATTTCAGAAAAGTGTCCAAAATGTGAGCATCCACGTGCCTATTTCATGCAGATCCAGACCCGTTCAGCTGATGAACCAATGACTACATTTTATAAATGTTGTAATTTACAGTGTGGACATAGGTGGAGAGATTAAATTATTTTATTAAGTTACTGACTAGCATTTCATTATTAACTTCAAAAAGCGCAATAAAGCTTATTTTTGTTTATATTAAGCATTTTTATTTGGTATTTGTCTGTTTAATTAATGCACAGAGCAGGTTTAAATTAAGTGGTACCTGTTAAAGAGGAAAAAATATATAATTTTGTAAAGTATGGTGTACTAGTTCAACATTTAAAAAATGTGTTGTTCGAGGGCTCATACATGGAAACTATAAGGAAGGAGAATAAAAATAAACAATAAAGGTGATCAGCGCCAGTAAGTGTAATGTGGAAATAAGAGCTACCAAGCACTAAGGATATAACTAAATATCTAAAAATTTGAAAAACAATAATCATACATATCTAATACATTGAAACATATATAAGTGAGTCACATATATGAGCCTTCAAACAAATGAGGAATAGAAAATATCTACACAAAGACAAAAAAGCAATATAGACAATAAAAAGTCTCAAGGAAAAAACAAAAGCAAAGAATGGTGATTGTGCAAAAAAAAAAAAAATCCTTCAGAAGATTCACAGCCAATCTGCATATAACTCTCAGGTAAGGATAATCACACAATGCAGACAGACCTTCACCTCCACCCAGTGAGTGATGACAACAAGTGAGTGCTCACTTGGGGAAGTAGACCTACAGAGCTAGGTCAAGTGCTCTTTTTCCCTTCTTAATGGGGGAGGGAAGCCCATGCACAGAAAAGGCGATAAGGTCTCCTCAGATCACAGGTACCAGTATAAATCCAGGTGGAAAGAGAAAAAGGACATAGTGCGTAACGTCCTATAAAATGCAATTTATTAAATTAAAAAATGCGTACTCACAATGATATAAACAGTACAGGCATTGGGTATTGCTGGATCAGACCAGCAGGACAAATGGCAGCAAAGCGAAAAAGAAACCTGTTCGTCCGGCTCAGCTCAGTGACATCAGAAGCTTGAGAATATTGAGAACAATCTCCTTAATAGTGACCAATTGAAAATGTGTAACCAACAAATGTGCCCTGTGGGGACACACACAGGTACCCAATGTTTTCAAGTATTCTTAATTGTTCACTAAGTGTTTTCAATTGTTCACTATTAAGGAGATTGTTCTCAGTATTTATGGAAGGTAATTAGAACCCTTGCCAAACAACGCCCTTCTGATGAAGCCCCGGTGGGGGGTGAAACGTGTCGTAGGCGTGGGTTAGGTGTTCCTGTCTGACTGCATCGGCTAAGGTCACCGCGGCTTTGCCTTATCCCACGGACATATTACACTGGAGGACTTTATAGTTCAAATCTGGAGAAAGCCACCCTCCCAAGAGCACATGTTTGCTGATGTGCACTGATTGTGGATTACTTGATAGAAAAACAAATCAACATTATTGACCCAGCCAAGGGGATTTCTCTCCTCTTCTGTTCCGGACACGGGCACCATACGAACAGAGCAAATGTTCAGTGAAGGCCAATAACATCTATAGTGGATAAGAAAGGCCCTAGATGAGGATAATCTTCTCCTGAACCTATTGCGTCTGCAGCCGAGTTTCGTTGGATTAGTGGTAAAACCACTCCGGGTCCCTCGACTTTCATCAATGAGTGAAAAACAGCACCGTGAGTGCTACCATTATAATTTGACAATCTAATGAACTATTTTTGACCTTGTGTTCTGCCTTTTTCATACACATGTATTGTAGCCCTTGTTTTTGACCTATGGGACTGACATCTTTCTCCAACTCCTAAATTTCTAGACATAAGAACACACTCTAGAAACCAAGTGTAACGACAAATATATTTCAAATATTAAGGTACTCAGGGGCGTACCGAATACCTCAAGTATATACATATTTTTCACATGCCATTTTTTGACAAATAGCCGAATGCAGTCTTTTATGTGATTACATGTATGTATGTTGTTTGTTTTTTGATATGTGTAGATTTTAGAATTATTTAAAAATAAATAAATTTTTTATCGAACTTTGCTATACACTTTGAAATAATGGTTGGATCCCCTTTTGGCGGAAAATCCCTGATTTTGCTCTTCGCAGTGGACGTCGGTATTGGGTGCACCTGCTGTGGAGGGTCAGATAATCCAAGGGCTAATTTTGGACTTTATATAAGGATCTGAGGGCGCATCTGGATAAGTTCTTTTCATGCATCCGTATGTCTAATCAAAGGTAATAATTGTTATGTTCTGTGTGTACGCCATGGATTTTTGACCAAGTGCATAGTGTTTACACCCCTCTCACTCCTGTCGTTGTTGTTTTGTTTTTTCATTTTTGATGCATTCAGTTGCGTTCTGCTTTGTTTGCATGCATTTTTGATGCGTTCTGTTGCAATCAGGTGCAGCTGAAATGTGGCAAGCAGTATTCTTTCTGACTGCACTGGGGTGAACAGAACATTGTGATGCGTTTTGATGCAGCTGCTAACCAGGAAGGACTGCATTAGAACTGCATCTTGTGTGAACAAGCCCTTCAGGTGTGGTCCAGTGCGTTTGCATGTGTTTTATGTGCTTATATGCGTTTTGGTGTGTTCCAGAGCAGAAAAAAAATAGGGCATGCAGCATTTCCCCCCCTGCATCGGAACAGACTACACTGGTGTGAACAGAGCCCAGAAATACCATAGGAATACATTAGGATGCATTTCAGGTGTGGACAAGAAAACACCCTGGTCCGCATCTGTTGGGGATCGCTGCATCGCGTCTCGGTGCTCAGCTTGTGGGAGGCGCTCACAATTCTGCCCTGCTAACATGAATAGGTTAAATGATCCATAGTACATAATATGTAGTTGTCGATATATAATGTTAGCAGGTTAGAATTGTAAATATGCTGCAGTGCATTCTATATGTAGTACATATACAGTACATATAGAATGCACTGCAGCAGTAGATTTACAATTATGACCTGCTAACATGAATGGGTTAAATGATCCATAGTACAACTACATGTTATGTACTATTATGTACTATGGATTTTTTAACCCCTTCTTATTAGCAGTGCAGAATTGTAAATCTATTGCTGCAGTGCATTCTATATGTAGTACATGTACAGCACATACAGAATACACTGCAGCAATAGATTCTTCTTGTTCACACAAAACACTAAACCCAGGCCCCATCTTACTTACTGTTGCCTCGATCGTGGTGCCGAACGATTTTCCTCACATGTGAGGACGTCGTCGGCGCTGAGCGTCGCATCACTGCTGTGGGCGGCGCTCCAGGTGGGGTCCACTGGGCAGTCGCCAGCCACCTACATTAGGACCCCACCTGGAGCGCCGCCCACAGCAGTGACGCGATGCTCCTCTGCTCAGCCGCTCAGCACCACCTATGTCCTCGTGAGGAAAAGCATTCGCCACCTCAAAAGGTACAGAGAAAAAAATCAGTGCAAGCATCGGCGCTGTGCATCGGGGCATTTTGACAAGTACGAGTACTTGTCAAAATGCCTTGTATCGGTCCCGATACCGATGCTAGCTTCGGTATCAGGACACCCCTACTTTCCAGGATTGTTAAGACATGATATTGGTCACGGAATTCGGAGGCTTAAAGAGATTTTGGGTGGGACAGAGCCTTCAACCCTGACTATAAATATTCTGGTCTTGAAAGGTTTGACCCACTTGCTGGGGAGTGTCTTAAGAGTAAACATGAGCGATTTGATGACGATGACGACCACCATCCCGTCCGCTCGTGACATACTTCCTCTGCAGAATGGCATTTTGACAGATGTCGGCAAAACAAACAATTGGGCAGTGTCATCTGACAGGTGAGCCATTATTGGGAAAAGTCATTATGATTTTGCCCAATCATGCCTCTCACAGTTATCTGTGCCCTGATTGGGCAAAGTCTTGTCCCCAACCTGTGACCTGCACATTGACTTGTGGGCCCATCCCTACTTTTAACGTGGTGGAGTGCAAGTCTGCAGGCAACTCCTGCAGGCTCTTGCACCGCAGTACCGCATCCCATCCCGCACGACCTTCAGAAAATCTGTGGTGCCATCGTTAAACAGGGCGTGCGTTGGTGTGCTGAAGGAGGAGCTCAGAAGGGCTGTTGGCCACTCTGTTCACTTCACCACAGACATCGACTGGAGTGCTCCCACTGGCCAGCACGCCTTCCTAGCCCTCACAGCTCATTGGTGGCAGCCTAAGGTGGCCCAAGTTACAGTGGCAATTGCAGGGACACCATTGTCAACAGCTGGAAAAGAGGGGCACCGCTCATTCCTGTTACATGCTGAGGTCATAGATGAGCAGCACACTGCGCAGAACATCTTGCGGGCACTGTGAAATATGTTGACGCAGTGGCTGGGGGACAAAGCAGGCACAAAGTGCAGGATGGGCTTTGTGGTCTCAGATAGTGCTGCGAACATGACCAAGGCTGCACTGGATGGGGATTTGTGGGTGTGCAGTGCACAGCCACATCCTGCAGATTGTCATAAGGGGTGCTTTGGAAGAGAGAAGGTGCGGGAGGCTGTCCACACTGCTGGACTCTCGTCGGAAGATGGCTGGACACTTCCTTCACAGTGTGAGGGACAGCCATCTTCTCAGGCTACAACAAAGGCCTTCCAGAGTACTGCCTTAAACAAGATGTGGTGATGAGGTAGAACTCCACACTGGCTATGCTGGAACGTATCCTGGATCAGCAAAGGCTCTCCACGGCATGGCCTATGAGCACAACATTGACATTGGAAGACCTCTAGGCAGCGTGGACTGGCTAGAGGTCTTCCAATGTCAATCATTGTCATTGTCATGTTTAATCATGACTCTTAAAGATGCATACCAGCTCCACCATTTCTTCAAATGACATGGCGCTCGCCCTTTTTTGGTTGCAGATGCGCCATGCTCCTCCTCACCCTCTCTGCTTGCACTAGGCTGGGTGCCACTGTCTTCAGATTCTGACATGTCTCTTGTTTTAATGTAAAAAATGTATTTGGTGTAATAGCTGCGGTTTTTTAGTGTGTTCATCTATGCCAATGCTCACTGTGCTCAAACATCGGTGGCAAAGTCGCCCCGGATGAACTTGCGCTCTAATTCGGTCCAACTACACTGAGGCTTCCGGTGTCTGCACAGGCCCGATTAATGACGTAAATTCGCCCGGGATGACATTTTGTCTATTGTACTATACAGAACGAAGTTTGCTGTTCAAACAGAGGATCAGCTGGGTGGTGAGTCATTTTACGCCGCCCGGCTTCCTTAATGGGACTTCCTCGGTATCGGCGAGTACCGGGAGAAAAATATCGGTACTCGATACCGAAAAGCCAGTATTGGTGCATCCCTAATAATAACAGTGTGTGGCTGTGGGGGGGACATTAGAGCATAAGCTCCTCTGTCAGAGACTAATGTGACTGGCTCAGTGTGGCGGCAGTGGGGGGCAGCCCCAAAATTTCTGATGGCTGCCCTGTGGGGACCCCACGGGAGCTGTTTACAGTACCAGCCGCACATCTACTCTTCCTCCTCCTTTCCACCACATGCACCCACCAGAACAGCACTGGGGAGACCACACACAGTCCTGGGGAGATTGCACACAGCCCTGGTGTGACCCCGCACAGCCTCCTGAGACCCCACACAGCCCTGGTCAGACGACGTACAGCCTCATGAGACCCCGCAAAGAATCTGGTGAAGACCACACACAGTCCTGGGGAGATTGCACACAGCCCTGGTGTGACCCCGCACAGCCTCCTGAGACCCCACACAGCCCTGGTCAGACGACGTACAGCCTCATGAGACCCCGCAAAGAATCTGGTGAAGACCACACACAGTCCTGGGGAGATTGCACACAGCCCTGGTGTGACCCCGCACAGCCTCCTGAGACCCCACACAGCCCTGGTCAGACGACGTACAGCCTCATGAGACCCCGCAAAGAATCTGGTGAAGACCACACACAGTCCTGGGGAGATTGCACACAGCCCTGGTGTGACCCCGCACAGCCTCCTGAGACCCCACACAGCCCTGGTCAGACGACGTACAGCCTCATGAGACCCCGCAAAGAATCTGGTGAAGACCACACACAGTCCTGGGGAGATTGCACACAGCCCTGGTGTGACCCCGCACAGCCTCCTGAGACCCCACACAGCCCTGGTCAGACGACGTACAGCCTCATGAGACCCCGCAAAGAATCTGGTGAAGACCACACACAGTCCTGGGGAGATTGCACACAGCCCTGGTGTGACCCCGCACAGCCTCCTGAGACCCCACACAGCCCTGGTCAGACGACGTACAGCCTCATGAGACCCCGCAAAGAATCTGGTGAAGACCACACACAGTCCTGGGGAGATTGCACACAGCCCTGGTGTGACCCCGCACAGCCTCCTGAGACCCCACACAGCCCTGGTCAGACGACGTACAGCCTCATGAGACCCCGCAAAGAATCTGGTGAAGACCACACACAGTCCTGGGGAGATTGCACACAGCCCTGGTGTGACCCCGCACAGCCTCCTGAGACCCCACACAGCCCTGGTCAGACGACGTACAGCCTCATGAGACCCCGCAAAGAATCTGGTGAAGACCACACACAGTCCTGGGGAGATTGCACACAGCCCTGGTGTGACCCCGCACAGCCTCCTGAGACCCCACACAGCCCTGGTCAGACGACGTACAGCCTCATGAGACCCCGCAAAGAATCTGGTGAAGACCACACACAGTCCTGGTTAGACCCTGAACATCCCTGGAGAGCAACACAGAATATGCAGCTTCCTATTCTGCATTGCTGCATATTGTATTGCTGAGATTTGTAGTCCCTCTATATCTTGGAGTTATTGGCAGAACACTACCAGAGGTGCAATGATTGCAGCTGCGACCGGGACCTGGTGCTAAACCACTGTCCCAAACTCATTAGTCTGTGTTGTTTTAGAAAAACTCACATGCACTAAAAAGGTATTGGTGATTGGCATCGGCGAGTACTTGAGGAAAAGTATCGGTAATGGCTGTGACTTGAGTTATTTTGAGGGGACAAAGGGCTGTACACTCACTACTTTACATTGTAGCAAAATGTAATTTCTTGTGTGTCGTCACATGCAATAATATAATAAAATATTTACATAATATTTATATTAACCATATATCCAGAGCATGAAAACATTACAGCACTGATATTTCAATCAATGACATTATTTATGATAAAATATGAGACTAGTGAGTTTAGTTCAGTAGATGTGGATGGAGTATTCTAGAAGAACTTTGGGCTTATTAAAAATGAACCCTTGCTGTGGGGCTACCCTCTATCTGCAAGGCTTAAGTGCTTATTTTGATCTAGGGTTTAAAAGAAAAAAGATATACTCACCTAATCCTCAGTCCTGTGGTGGTAACCACTCTCTCGTC